TCTGATATTTTAGAGGCATATAATACACTTATCTAGATTTGATATGCAATTGGAACCAAGTTGTTTGGAGGTCTCTAGGCCGAGATATCCATCCAGGAAGTTGGCTGTTCAAATCAGTAACCTATGACAGCAATTGAAACAATCTGTCAACTTCCTAAGGGAACTGCAGCCACTAGGTATTCTCAAACAGACTATAAATTTGCAGAATTATAGCTTAATGAGTCAGCTTTTTAATGGCACCGGTTTCACCAAATTCCGATACTCCTAAGTCCAGTTATGCAATCATTTAAAGAAGGTACTCAGACCAAAAATGTTGCAGAAATTTTCTGCTAGATCCTTCAATATAAGGTATGACCATATCTAGATTATATAACAGCTGTTGTTACACAATGACCACAACATTTTAGGAAATCCTTAGTATATACTCAATAGTCTAGAATTGAATTTCATGTCAAATTCTGCATAATTATCACAGCCATAAACAGAAACAGCCATGCACCTATCATAATTCATCTCATAGAATTTCATGTTCCCAATTATATACACTTCAATAGATCGAAGGATACACCAAGGCTAGAGCAACCTTGGCTGAAACAGAATCAGGGGAAAGATCAAGATCTTTGAGGTTTACCTCTCTTCCTTGATTCAAGCCACTTAGCCTTTAATGGATCCTCTTTCCATTAACTCCAATCAGTGTCCTAACAGCCCCCAAAGTTTGGTTTCAGCATCCCTTCTTTTTCTTTTAAAGCTTCATGAAATACCATAGAGGCAAAAACTGATATGGTGCCAAGAAGGATTTATGACACTTGAACTTTAACAAGTTTATCAGTTATCATTTGATTTCAGTTTAGTATCACTTGTTCTAACACATGAAATCAGTTGGGTGAACAAATGATTCAAATTATCTACTCTCATTGATCTGTTGAGAGTTCTCATGAAGTTTGAATTGTAGTTTGGATTATGTATGTATACTCCCTCAACTCTTTTCTATTCTTCCACAATTAGATACCACATAACTCATACCACATCCTTGTGCTACTTATAGACTTTTCCATCAACCTGCTTTACTAAGATCAACTTAGTTTATTAACGCAAGCCTAATGAAGATTTTGATTTTCCAAGTACTAACATGATACGAATTTAATAATTCAAAATTCAAAAAAAACTATATGTTTAACTAACTAATTTATCATATGGCTCCTCTGCCAGCAAAAAACATCTTTCTAATCGTTTTCCTCCTCTTCACAATATTTTCTGTATCCAAAGCTGAACTTCATGCTCGTTACTATGACCAAACATGTCCACAATTGGAAAAAATAATTTCAGAGATGGTTCTCAATGCTTCAATGCATGACCCAAAAGTCCTAGCTCGTATCTTGAGGATGTTCTTCCATGACTGTTTCATAAGCGTATGATTTATAAATCATACCATTATAATATTCCCATGTAACAGAGCAAGTACCCATGAATACAGAGAAAGAAACGAGAGAGAGAGAGAGAAAGAGAGACAGAGAGAGTACCTGAATACAGAATGACATCAATCTGCGCACAGAATGAACAAAAGAACTTCAGATCTCCTAATAATTTCAGAGCCCTAAAAATTGAAGTTCCATTATAATTCCAGAATCTTAAAATTGCATGGAAATACCAGATCTGAGATCGGCACTTCAAATTTAATATCAACAGCGATTAAACCTAAACTTGAAATTTAAAAAATAATTAAATAAAAATATATAATACCAAAAAATATTGAAAACATTCATAGATTTACAAGGATCTGAAAGCAGACCTTAGCACTGAGAAATTCTAGTTTGTTGGAATGGAGAATTTGCTTTGAGGTATTATGTATCAAATACCACGATTTGAAGCTCGGGATTAACAAAGGAACTGAGTTCCAAGCTGAACCCTATTAGATTTTAAGCAGGAAAGAATAAGATAAACTTTAGGGTTTATCCTTGACAGAAACGTCGAATAGAGTAGTGAACAGAAATAAAAAAATGCTTTTTAGAAGAAGAAAAAAAAATAAAAAACTTAAAAATAGTTTTACTTCATTTCGAAAATAATGTGGCTAACCCCCAAGGGTAGCTCAGTTGGCAGCTGAGCTCCCAAGGGATTGCTTGGTGCAGGATCAAACCCTACCTCAAGCAGTTTCTTGGAAAATCTTTGGGGGGCCCGAGGATAAGCTAAAAAATCTTCGGTTGGGGGATTAGTCTCGTTCTTTCTCCGGTTGCGAAGCTTAGTGCACCCACTGTTACAATGAGGGGCTAGCCCAAATGGGCCGTACCCTAAGGGCATGGTGCCCGGAGAAGGTTGAATGGGAATACCTCCTGGCAATGTACCAAAAAAAAAATAATAATGTGGCTAATCGGGGGTAGTTTTGGATTTTTATCAACATTTTAATAAATGTGGTTAAAGTGATGTCCTTATACGCCTTGTTTTTTGTAGTGTGATGAAGATATTTACCAATCTGGAGTTTGAGTCTGAATTTGGTAACATCGTATCGGTGGATATCCTCCCCGATAAAATTTACGTTACACCATAAAAAGTTTAATGATCTTGTCTATGTTTGTTGCAACTTGAATTTGCAAACCATGTATTATTATGCTCATTCATTGTTTACATTTTTTTATTATATTATACATATAAGTATGTGCAAGTATTTTTTTGATGTTGAAAATTCAAAAATTTAGGGATCAAACGAAGTGCCAAAATTATGACCTAATTGATTTGGCAATGTTTGAGGAGCATTCTGATTGGATTTTGGAGATGTCACCAGCATTATTAAGTGATGAAGAGGAAGTTTTATGTCAAAACATAGACTTGAATTTCGTTCCACCAGTTACAAATGATATTGTATGCTTTTGTACAACATAATAATTAGAATTTTACTGTTCAATTTGATTTTGATCAATTAATTTTTATCAGTAACTTACAGGAAAATTTAATTGTCATAGATCAATTAAATTTGGATAAAGATAAGGATAATGATACAGATGCACACAACGTGGAAATTATAGACCAAAATGCAAGTAATGTTGGTCAAGATTTAGATGAGTTTGGTGGAGAAAGAGAGCTAGTGATTGACACAACTTTGACACATTGGGCATTGATAACATGAATTTTCATTTATTTGTGCTTATTTGTGCAATTTATTGATTAATTGTGAACTTTCTCATTTGTTTGTGCTTATTTTGTGCAATTTGTTGATTAATTATGAACTTGTAATAGTGTAATTGGGTATTGAGCTTATTTATTAAAGTTTGTTTATCTCATTTTAGATATGGAGAATACATACATACAGGACAATTGGTCCGACCAGTGACCTAGTATTCCGACCAGGTCGATGCCCTAGTCGAGTTTAATAACAATGTTGTAATGTTAATGATTTCACAAGATAAGGTCTTTTGAGATGGTGGGATGAAATACAATTTTGACGACTCATAATAGAGATGAGAAAGGAGAGAGATTTGGGACTAGAAAATGGATAAATAATAAATGAGGCCAAAACTCACTGATATTGGGATTTTTGACCGACGAATACTCGAGTATCTGGTTATGTTACCCGAGTATTTAACTCAATATCCGGGTATCTAGTTCACTACCATGGTATACACTCATGGAACATATGAACATCTTCAATCCAGGAAATATACTTGGGTAGCTGGGTCTTTACTCTGGTATCTATGTGGTCAACGGTGAAATAAGGACAAATTGTATTATATTTGGGGAAATGTCAAATTTTTTGACTAATTTATAAATGTGAGCAAGATGATAATTTTTTATTAATTAAAGAGTACAGTAGCCAAAAAGTCAAACAAGTTAGGTCAAGATTTTTTAAAAATATATTCAGCTAAAAATATCATATTTTTTCACCATTTTAAAAAGTTTTTTGACCTTGACAAACCTGTTTATTTAATTAAATATATTATTATTTTGTAAATTTTAATTTATTGGTCTATTTTTTATTTTATTTTTGGTAAGCGATTTGTTGGTCTAGTTAAATGCTTAAGTATTTAGTCTATTAGTATATTTAAAAACTTTATACTAAATTAATTCTTGTAAATAAACTTTAGGATTAAATTAAACTTTTAAAAATATCAATTCAGACTTTCAACTAAAAATATTAAAAAGATAAAATATACTCAGAATTAACGTTCAGAAAATAAACTCAACTTATTTCAGGCAAAGTATTATCTGGCTCATTTTTACATCACTAATTGAATGAAAAAGACTTTTGCCATTGCAAGCTTAGTAGAGTTGCTGTCCTGAATCCATAAATCACACAATTTCTAATATACTATCGTTATATCTAAATGCGTCTAATAAAAACATAACACGTGCTGACATGTTTCTTAAGGGGGAAAAAAACTATATAAATCATACCACTCTGACGAAATTTATTTTTTATCTTAACTGTAACACCAATTTTATAGGTACGATCAGATCTCTGTTTGTGACCTATTATTATATCAAGCAAATCATACCCAATATGAATACGCACAGTACAATATCAATTATGACTTTTATTTTATAAGCACACCAATTCTTAAGTCCCCCATCATTGCCAGTTAAAATTTCTTTGGAGATGTGTTTAGTTCAAATTAGTGCAGAACATTAAAAAATACAGGGACAAGAGCCATCAATAATTCCAGTAACTCAAACTACGTGCTGTCCTCGCTTCCCATGGTTCGATTCTCGACGTACGTTCATTTTGACAACCATACCGTATCCGTGACCACTGACACCCCCCACTACCTTGCAAAAATTTAAATTAAACTACCACTATAAAAGTAATGACACTTCTGACACACCCACGCCCCACTGCACTCATCTTCTGCTATGTTCACTCATTAATCACATTTCACTGACCAAACTGCAAAAACTCTTCTACCTATGTCCCCATTTCCATGTTCTCAACCTTTACCCACTTTCGAGTTAACAAATCAATAAAATAGTAAATAAAATGCACCACCAGCTCTAGAATTTTGAAAATTGTGTATACCTTTTATGATTTATGTTTATTTACAGCAACAAATGATTTTACAAAATTAAGCGAAATATAATTTCTTTGAGTGTTCACGTTCCACTTCAGCAAAAGGGAATTCATTTTCCTTTACCGTACCGCACGGCTACCGAATCAATGCTAGCCACGTCACCTAGAACATCTCCAGGTCACCATTAATATACCCGAAGAAAATCTTAAACCTAATCTTCTGCTCCATTGGGTCCCAGCATGAACCATTAAATTCTCTCTTCCAAGAAATTCCAGCTGTCTTCCATTAATTATTATCATTATTTTATTGTCTGTCCCATGCAAACAAACCAGAGTGTATGAATGTGTCTATTCATATAAACCAACTTGAAGCCCAATTCAAACCCGTTACGTGTCGAAATCCAATTGGCGTGAAACCCTGGAGCTCCTAAATGACCTGTCAAGCTTTTCACTCAAAGCACGTAGGACCTGCCACGTGGCATCACCTTCCTGCACCTGGCTGTTGAAAAGCAGTGCCCTCCTCGTCCTTGGGTCCCACAGGTTCCTCTGGATGGCGCTTAGATTGGTCGCCGCCACGTGCTCCAATATCTCCGCCAGCCTCCCCACGTCCCTCTCCGCCACCGTCACCGATATCTCCGCCCATCTCACGGCGGAGGAAAACGGCAACCGGATACCATCAGCTATAACAACCGGCACGCAACCCAAAGCAACAGATTCAACGAGCCTCGGACTCCACGGGGCCCACCCCAAAGGACAAAGACAGAACACGGACCGAGCAATCTCGGATTGGTACCCGGCAAACCTATGTCTCCGTAGGTAAAACCTTTGGTCACCGTTGAACTTCCGCCATATAACCGTACGCACTTTCCTTCAATGTTAAAAGGGTAAATTTATCAGAATAGGAAAAGATTAAAATAAATAATAATAATTAAAAAAACATGATTACGAGTTTTGATTAGAGATTTAACGGTGATTACTTGCTGTAAAATCTTCCACTAACATTCTTAGGATGGACCTCCATTTTTCCCCGGAAGAACACCCAAATATCTCGCCGTCCGTTCGCCGGAGATTTCTCCATCGTGTTCCGTACGCTTTCCGGCGAAACGTACGGCGGTATCACCACATGCTCAACCTCCTGGCACGGATGATCGTACTCAACGCCAAAAGTCTGCAACACGATCGAGTTCTTCATGATTTCCGGCACCCCATCAGCCATCGCCACGTCCTCCTTCACAAACCAAAACCCAAAACCAACAAAAAAAAAAAAATTTAAAAATCGAATCTAAGAGAAAGCAACGCTTCAAGACAAAACATGTTACAACGTAAACATGTTGATAACATACGAGGGTATGAAAACAAGAGCCGAAGTCGTGTGAAGCGACGAATACGTGGTCGGAACCTCGGCTCCGGTTCCAGAATGGGTACTCCGAGGAGATGAGTTTCACTGCGGAGGCGATTAGTGACCGCGCGTGACCAATCGCCGGGAAGCCATTGACGGTGCTGAAGTTGCAAGAGACATAAACAGGGACGAAGAAGAAGTCAGCATCGTAAGGGTCAAACGTACGCACGTCGCTGGTCAACAGTGCCCTATGAATTGCAACCTCCGAAGCAAACAAATGACTACTACACCTCTCGTTCGCGAGCCAATCGGTGTTGTATTTCGGAGGAAGATCGTAGACAAACACCTTCAGGTTCATCAGCGACCCTGTAATGATATTTCAAAACCGAATCTATCAGCTGAAAATGAAAATTATAACAACAACTACTAACAAGCCATGAGTTTAATTCGTTTGTAACATACCGAGAATGTTTCGAGCTTGTGGTTGAGCTGTGTTTGTTTTTGATTCGGAAAGTGTTCTTGAGACATGGGTTGTTGTTTTGGCATGGTCGTGATTGTTGCTGATGAGGTAAGAGGTGAAGAAATAGAGGGATAGAGAAAGCCAAAGAACCCATTTGTAATATCTATAGAAGCAACTCTTTTCTTGTTGAAGCCTTCCATGTTTATTCAGGAGCTTCATTCTCACATAGTACCCCCTGTTATTTGGGGGTCTTTTCTGCTCCACCATTTCATTTAAATTCAAAGCAAAAAAATCAAAAGCTATGAGAGAAAGAAACCAAACTCAGATGTTGAAGGGATGAGAGGTTCAGCTTGAGTAGTTGATAGGGTGCTTTCATATTCTGGTCTGCGAAGAAGTGGAGACAAAGAAACAGTGACAGGAGGTGAAAGCACCAAAGATTTGTTAGCGTTTCGTTTTTGCAACAAAAATAAACAAATTGGGTTTTTGTTAAATTAATGCGTTCAAATGAAAATGGTTATAGCTTTTCTTATTCTCTTACAAGGTCTAGTTGTATTCCAAATTCAGATTATTCCCTGATTATTGAATGTATATTTTAATAGCAAAAAGAAAAGTAGAACAAAGACAAGCCAAGAAAGAGAGAGATGGATTGTTTTTGAGATCGCATCATAAATGGTAGTGATGGATCTGCAGCTGGGCGAGGGTATTGGATATTCATTCAAATCTTTTACTTTTATTTTTATTTTTTCATGTTTGATCATGTAAAAATACACTCACTACTAGGATATGGATTAAAATTACCCATTTTTCTTCATTTTCTCCTTTCTTGTCATTCTAATTAAAATGATATTTTAACCCCAAAAAAATCTCTTTAAAATGATAACACACTCTCTCTTAGTTGTTCTCTTTAAAATGATAAGTACTTTTATTTCCTGGTCATGAATCACAATCCTCTCAATTGAAAAATGACATTTAACAAAAAAGAAAAATAAAATAAACGATAATATATTTTCTCTTAGTTTTTTGTTTTTTTGTTTAGGTGTCAAATTTAAACTAGACGAATAAGAAAGGAGATAGGTAATTTGATTTCTTGGTATTCAATTCACATGTTTTTTCCGGTTTCTTCAATTAAAATAAATTCTCTTGCTTTTAAGTTTTAACTAAATACACTCTTTCTTAGTTATTAATTCTTTTGTGATAAAATAATTTTTAATTATGCGGCTTTCAATCCTCTATAGAGGTGTTTAACTCTCTACTACCGTAATAAATAACTGTTTTGCACCCATTTGATATATGCGGTGTTCGCATTGGACTAAATTTTTAGTATTCTTAAAATACATATTTTTTTATTAAAATTAAAAATAAATAGACTCATATACTATTAAAAATTAAAGATGAGTAAAGTAAATACTGTGTTTTCTAATTATAGGTAGGTACATCATTGGATCATCTGTAAAAAGAAAAGAAAAAAAAGGAGTGCTGAAAAATAGCCGTAGTGGATTTTCTTGGTCCTGACCAAATTTTGTGGCGTTATTATATAATTAAGATAAGGTTGTCTTAAACTTGGTCTTCAATCATAATCATAATAAATAATAACATCAAGATCACCATGACAACCCGTGCCTGATGATCATTCTTGGGGAAGAAACACGGCGCATATAGCTAATAGCCTAATAGTGTCAGGTCCCAACGGCTGAAAACTGTGGATCGCGCAATTGATGCCATGCTATGAAATTATGCAGGACAGATGCTCTGAACAGCAAGTTTTTTTTTTTTTTTTTCTTAAAAAAAAAATGTTTTAACTTTTAACCCAGTGATCACTCGAAAAATTCCCATAGTAATATGGATCAGGCAGAGTAACAAAAAAAGGGGTCACATCAAGGCATGGCAAGTCTTTTTATAATTTTTTTGTCATGATATACTTGTCAAGTGTTTGAAAGAGAAAAAAAAAAAGCTTACGCCATTACATTTTTCTTTATTTTCCAATATTTTGACCCACTCAACAAACATTTAATAATTGAGAAAATATGAATCACGTATATACTTGTCATATTTTCCTTCTCTAATCATAAATAATTATCTAGTTCCGTGAATATTTTAAATTCTATCTCTTCTTTATCAAAAAATCGACAACATATTGTGATTGGTTGTTAGTATGTGATTCATATTGTTACGATGCCGTAAAGAGATTGACAATTTGTATAATTAATAAAACAAACAATAATTAATTATTAGTCAACGAAAATAAACTCACGAGTCATTTCAAATAATACAGATGCGAATATATCGCAACGTTTTTATTTTTTATTTTTTAATAGTTATAAGAGGTAATATACGATGTCGAGAAAGGTCTACACCACGTGTATATACATAAATAGTAATATCAATGTAAGTCCTTTTTACATTTTTTTTCCTTAGAGAGTTAATTTGATTTTTTTTTAAAGATTGTATTCAGTAATAACTCCTTTTCAAGAACAAACACTACGGAAAACTGACTTAATTAATTAGATGAGTTAGGTGCCTTCTTACATTATTATTTTACTTATACATTATTAAATTATTAAAAATATTAACTATCACAAGTATTATTAATCAACTGTAGAATTTTTAATATCTCGACATGTCAACTTATAATTTAGTAAGGGTTGACTAAATGAGATTATTTCGTACTTGTAATTTTCTTAAGAAAGTGTTTGGTCGAAGGATTATTTTGAAAAATTCAGAAAAGTGAGGGTGAGTTTCTAAAAAAATCATATTTGGTAGCACATTTTAACAAATTTTCTCGAAAAAGTAAGGGTTTGTTTGATTGTTCTCTAATTTTTTTGTTCTTAAAACTGTTTTGTATAAAAGTTATGGAAACAATTATTTTCTACATTTTTTTGTTTTATAAGTTAAAAACAAAAATAAACCAGACATGTTTTCTAAATTTAATTTTAAAAACAAAAAAATAGTTACAGTTTTTAAAACTTTTTTTTACAAAACAAGCCTTGTCAAATGAGTTTTTTTGTTCTGAAAATCAAAAAAATGTTTTATAAAACACTTAATCAAACAGGCCCTAATTTTTCTGGGATTTCATTTTGAATGTAAAAACTTAATCAAAATACCACCAAAAAATACCATCCAGAAAGTGATATTTTCATCCGATGAAAATATTTTTCAATATTTTTAGAACAAAAATACCTCCACTACTAGACCGCTGGTAGTAAGTTATTGTAGTCGGAAGTGCTCCCACTATTAGAATTATTTTCCAAACATAGTCAGCTTGCATAACAGTTAAACCCAATGCATCAAGCTCATGTAGTGTAGGAGTAGGAATTTAATGCACCCGGACCACTTTTGAATTGGTGAGACAAAGGAGAGAAAAAGTTGAAAAGTGAGAAAAGAAATAAAAGTAAAATTTTATTCCAAGTGTCATATTCTAACATCAAAATCCGGGACTATATTAAATTTTTCATGGTGTAGCATCAAACCTTGCCTTGAATGAAGATGAAATTATAATAGCAAACACATCTCATGCCCAAATTCCAAACCCCTGCCTGGGAAAAACTGCAGTAATAAAGACACCGCAAGTCTTCTTATTGGCATTCTTAGACATTATGGTAGGAGAAAGAGGATAATCTCCACCGTTACCAAAACCAAGCCAGAGCCCGAAAAAGCAGAGAATTCCCATAACAGTCTTTGCACCACGCCTAAAAGAAAGACCAGAAGCAATATGGAGCATACTACCATAAGCATTAGAGTCATACCATAGATTTTTTGTCCAAAATATGTGGAGGACCCCAACATCAGAGACCCCAAATTTAAATTTTTATTTTTATTTTAAATTGAAAATTTTTTAAATGAAAATAATGGATAAGATTACTTTTGTAAAATAGTCTCATATTCCCTTCAATATGTTACAATCAACCAAATATAGGATCAGAAAAATTGACTCAATATTTCCTAGAATATTTTGTCCTACCAAACAATTTTTTGGTAATATTCCCGGAAAATTTACTTTAAGAAATCATACTCTTATGTTACATGAGATTGATCTTTCATATTGCTCTTACTTCAAAAAATATGTTTTTATGATGCCGAAAGCGCATAGAAAAGTGGTTAAACAGAAAGTTGAGATTTTACAAAAGAGTAATCCTCTGGTTCTCAATTATAATTATCAAAATAACAAAATTTAACTCCTAAAATAAGGGTCTTAAGCACCCTTTTATAGAGTAATTACAAATTGGTTCAAAATCCAAAATTAAAAAATCTAAATCCTAAAAATAAGAAAACTTCCTAAAATAAATATAATCGTAATTAACTTCTAAAAATAAATATTTACAATTAAATCATTCAAAATACGTCCCAAATATTAAATCTCAATACCAAATGTGTTGCTTTCCTTTTCTTGCCAAACAAATCACAATCATATCCGCTACTTCATTTGGACTGGAATTTGATCATAATTTTTTATATTTCAAATTGCTGTTTCTTTTAACAATTAAGCCATACTTATTGGGCCATAATTCTGGCTGATTCTGGGCTTCTTGAATCGATGGTTGGGCCATGTGCAATGGGTCAACCGTAAGTGCGTCATTCTCCCCTGCTTGAAAAAGATTCGTCCTCGAATCTGCTTCATATTCATTGATATCAATTTCTTTAGACAAAAACTCAAATTATAAATCTTCCTCTATTAGATCTCCATAATCTGATTCTCCATCAGATTTATCATAGACTGGATTATCATTATAAATTGAATCATCATAAACTGTGTTATGATCGTAGATATCAAAGTCATGAATGTTGATTTGCATCTTGATATCTTGAAAAGTGAATTAATTTTTAGGTTGTACTTCCCAATTTTGTCCCTGGTTTAGAATCCCGAAGGGATACGTCCTCCTCTTCGTCATCAGATGCGTTCTCTAATTTCATTCCTTCTTCGGATTGAATGCCCAACTTTGTCCACGCAAGTTGCCACTCCAAAATTTAAATTTTCATGCATACCCGCACTAGTCGTCGCTCCAAATGTTGAATTCTCTTTCTCTGCGCTTGCACAAGTAGTCGCTCCAAAACTTAGATTTTATTATCCAACGCTTGCTTAAGTTGGTGCTTCAAATCCTGGATCAGCTTCCCGAGCTCTTCATTTTCTATGTCACGTTCTATCTGACGTGGTTGTCTTTCGTCTTTAGGAACGAATCCACATCTCTTGCCTTCACGACTCCGCCATCAATGACCTCTACGATTATGTTCAGCCATTGATTGAAGGCAACCTAGTGCTCTGATACCAAATGATGCCGAAAGTACATAGAAAAATGGCTAAACAAAAAGTTAGGATTTTCACAAAAAATAACCCTCTGGTTCTTAATTATAATTATCAAAATAACAAAATTCAACTCTTAAAATAAGGGTTTTAAGCTCCCTTTTATAGAGTAGTTAACAAAATTCAAGAACAAAATTCAACTCCTAAAATCCTAAAAATAAGAAAACTTCCTAAAATAAATATAATAGTAG